TTTTTGAATATAATTTCGACTTTTGTAAATTATGTACATGATTCTTTTCAATTTTGCTGATTTTGGAACAAATTGTTATTTTATAGGCATTCACATATTTAATCAAAGAACGAACGGAAATTAAATACTACATCTGGTTATTTACAATGACAGAATTTAAATCGTAGATCTACACATAATTTTATGTATGAGTGCTTCTTATGTAGTTATTTAATTAAAAATACGATTTAAATCCACCCAATATAAATAAGTAATTAACAGACATTTAATTCTAGACGAATGAAGTCATGAACCATCAAGACATTTCCATTCAAACATTTTTTTTACAATAATTCATATTTGGGTCAGACCGCCTTTGTTGATTTCTTTACATTATATAATTATTATACATAAGCAATTATATTAATTATTAAAAAATAAAATCAGACTTCTTAATTTTTTTTCCTAGGTGTATCAAATGAACCATTTCCCAAGAATTATAAACTAGATAATATATGGGCAACTAATAAAAGATTAAAAGTCTGTTACGTATTCGGGTTAACGGGTCAAGTACGACATTAGTGTGTGGGGAATGTCATTACTTTGTTGACTTAATCATCGGTCGTAGTCATACTTTTAGCTATATTATTTCTATGCTACACTCGGTGAAGACTATAATTGATGATTTTTGCTGTTGATCTACAAACACCAATATGGGTGTAGGTGTTTGTGTATACAGTAGAACCTCGATAAATTAATATCCGATAAATTAATAACCTCGCTTAAATAATAATTTTTCCCGGTCCCGACTCGGGGACAACGTGCTAAATTAATAATTCGCTAAATTTATAAGATAATACACATTCGCAAATTTTAAGAAGCCCCATATAATATAATATATAAATTAATAATGCATAAAAAAATTCTGAAATTACATGGTACAATGCATATTTTATAGGTCTATGAAGACTTAATATAATATAATTTAATTCTCACTTGTTTCTTGTAGAAGTTCACATTACCATCAATCTCGTCCATTACTTTTCTTAACATGCTTAGAACTTTCGGTATAGGTTTCTTATAACTCAACATAAATCGTTCTATACCATTACTGTTTTAAGAGCTTCCATTCGTGAAACGGGCTCTATAGTGCATTGAACGAATGGTACAATAAATAATATATACGTAAAAATTTAAAAAAAAAAGTGTATTTATTGAAAATAATAATAAAAGTAATTTCATAAATTAATAAGTTATTAATTAATGTATAAATTAATAATTATTAATTTATCGATAAGTTAATATTTCGCTAAATTAATGAAATCTTGATGGTCCCAACTGTACTAATTTATAGAGGTTTAACTGTATACGAATGGTGCAAATCTACTAGATGTAGCATAGAATAGACCGGATTAGCTACTTTAATACTATGCTAGAAATCATTAATATCCTTATCTCTTGTTGATTACCAAAACGGTTAACCTCTCGATGAAAATCGTTACTACAGAATTCACACGATCACATTAATCATGGCCGCTTGTGCTTGCTAAATGTACGAAAAAATTAAGATTTGCGTCTTTCTTTATACAAGGACAATTGTTAATGTTTGATGTCCTAAAAGTGGTATCAGAGTCACGGTCATAGATTCGACTTATCTTAGACCCATAGGTTTAGTAGGATGAGAGGGCGTTCTGCCTTGAACTCCTTAAACTTTTAATTTATCTTTTTCTAAGTTTGTAGTCATATTAGCACCACAATTCTCAAACAAAATGAAAACAAATACGACTTAGTCATGCTTTTAAGGGCATATTAATGTATGCAACCTCATTTTTATCAATTTTTAAAATTCGCCTAAAGCCCTTGGACTTAGGTATTCAACTCGTGGACCACTAGCTGATTATTCATCGACTATGTTCTTGAACCAACCAGTTAATCATAATTATTTGATAAATCAGAAAATTTTGAAAATTCTATATATATATATATATATATATATATATATATATATATATATATATATATATATATATATATAAAAGCGTGTACATTGTAGATTTAATTTTTCAAAATACATTGAATTTTCAAAATTATTTCGAAAATAAAATTTGGATAAGATATATTGAACAAATTTCTTGTAATAAGACATATATGGCCCTTGTCTATCAACAAGACCATGGATATGATAGTCTTACGGTGAAGCTTCTGTGGTGGTCCAATTTCTTTCTCTTAAATGGGCATTTGTGCATACATCAAACCGAGCTCCAAAATAGTGACATTGAACAACCCTGATTAGGATTCCATCAAAAAAAAGAACAACCCTGATTAGGAGAGTAGATATATAGCATTTATACATACCCAAATCTCATTGTTAATCCCCCAACTATACATTTTGTTCCATTTTCATCCCTATTTTCTACAATGTATCATACTAATCATTTATGAATCAAAAATATGTCAAATTAGCCTTCTTCTAATAAATCCGTTAACCCTATTGACGGAAACAAACTAAAAGAATAACAATAATACTGTAATTAAGGGTATTGTGGTAAAAACATATAAAAAAAAAAAATCATCATTCCATTAATTTATCTGCCAAAATAACCACACACGTGACCCGTGTCACCCCACCCACCCACCACCCACTTGATTATTCAATTACCCAGGTACACCACACCCTTCCCCCACCAAAGTTCTTTTTACTGTTAGATACTAAGTTAAGGTAGTAAAAATGGCGGATTCAGTTCTGGTAGATTCAACGTGAAGACTACATACGGTATTTTCTGGCCAAACAATGATCTAAACACGAGACTGAATTCAGGTTTGGTTATAAAAATATTAAAATAATAGTGTATTTCGAATTTTTGCTATCTTTTTATTTATCTATAAATTTGTCAAAAAAGAGTAAAGGCATCACAGTTGCACCATAGGATTTATCAATTAGAAGGGTTAGTGTAGGGTGAGATATTGCATGAGCGTTCTGCATATAAACAAGAACAAATCAATAATTATTTTATTTTTTTGTCTGTTAATACACGGAAGATTGATAATTATAGATCTTGGTTATTTTCTTTAATATTTTTGTACTTAATCTTGTGCATATATTTTTACAGTAAGTACCAATGAGGCATTTTCTGTGACATTTGATAAACATTTTCACTTTAATAATTAGAATTTAGCTTTAAAAAAAATATACTAACATGCTGCCTGAAATGTCAGCGAGTAAAGCTTTATATTCAAATTTAACTATCTCAAACATGTTTCTCTCTTCTCCAAAAAAAATGACGTCTCTCTAAAAAGTATCGCGATTAAGTCAGGCAAAATATAACATTCAAGTAGTTGCATAATAAACGGATTCAAGTAGTTGCATAACAAACAAACAGTTGCACAATTTTCCTAGCTTCTTTGCTTCAATCTTTTGTTTTATTAGCGGTTATCTCGCTACTTTGGGATTGAGCATGTCCAAGAGAAGCTCTTGACCTTGCAGCACTTTGCAATGATTTCAAAGTGACAAATTGTTTTCCTTGCTTGCTAAAATCAGCTGCAACTGGGACTGCTCCAATTCTAGTAGTATTTTGAGTTGAACATGTTCCAGAAGTTGTACTTTGCATACTTGGGGCCACCTGAATTAGAAAATACTAATCATTTCTTTATGCTACAAAACAAAGATGTAACGAAAACTAAATTCTTAACTTACATGTTCTTGAGCTAATATATGTTTCTCATTTTCTAGTGGAATGTACTGGTGATTCGGAGCGTAGAAGTCCATATTCCTCCAAATTTGTGCCGCTGGTACATCACACTTGTTTCGCCTATGACCTTCCTTTAAACAAACACTGCACCTCATCTTTTTTTTAGGTTTATTTGCTTGTATGCTAGCAACAACATTTTCTCCTACTGGCATTGTATTCTCAACTTCTGATTGATTGACTTGTATATCACTTACACCATTATTTTCAACAGGAATTGTAGGAACATCTTTTCTTGATTGAGCGGAAGGATCAGTCTCACCCTCAATCTGTTGTTTTTTCTTTGAAGGGCATGTTCGCATGTTATGTCCATCTCGGCCACATTCTCTACAAGCTAATGTATTTTTTCCAGACCTTCTCAACTTTTTTACCTCTTTCGCGCACTTAACACTTTCTCTAGGTGCTTTTCTTCGTTTTCTTTTCGGTCTGCCTGGTAGTGTAATTGCTCCAGGTGCATTGACAATTGGTTTATCGGTCCGTGGCCAAAATTGAGGACTCTTCACCGGTTCTAAAATATTCTTGTATGCTGTTATGAACATTTCTTTTGAATAATATTTATGAACATAAGCCTCCGGATTCCTCCCTGATCCTGCAATGGCACACACCCCGTGGATACAAGGTATTCCTGTTAAATCCCATCCTCTGCAAGAACATGTCTTGTCATTAATGTTAATAGCATATCTGCCACCAAACATGTCCCTCACTTCAAATTTTCCTCCTCCTGCATGTGAACCAATGCATATCCTAGATTGATCTTGAAGTTTTTCCAACTTACCTTGAATATTAGGACAAATTGAACAATCATATTTTTCAATGTACTCTTTTTTTGCCTGCAGTCTCTTTTGTATATAAATTCTAATTGTCTCAACCATTCCAATTAGTGGCTTGACCTTAGCATCCAAGATAACTGAATTGAAAGTCTCTGAAAGATTGTTAAGAAGAAGATCACATTTAGGCGAGGTTCTAAAAAATGACTTGGTCCAGTGAGTTGGATTAATCTCTGCCAACCATTTATATGCATGCTCATCAAGTTTCTTTAGCGCATCAATTTCAGCCTTAAACTGATTCACGTGTGTAGCTCTAGCAGCCCCCACAACTTATCTTTGAGCGACAAACCATGATGCTCCTTCTTGAAGTTGTCATATATGTGTTTTACATAATATCTATGTTCAATACGTGGTAACAACTCATAGATAGCTGGCAAGAGTCCCTAAAAATAAAATAAAAAGTATTGTTACTATAAATATAACATAATAGTAACGAAAAATAAAATTTGAGAGAATAAATATGCCTAAGAGGGGGGTGACAAATTTTATTTTATCGTATTCAAATTTATTCTCTCAGGCAATAAAGTGCGTAAAGTAAATGACACCGAATTTATAGTGGTTCAGAGAAATTCCCCTACTCCACTCTTCTAGGCCCTCGAACTTTTATTCCACGTGCCTCCAAGATCCTTGGATCCTCCACACGAAAAAGATGTGCTTACAAGACTCTAACGACTTTTGAACCAACGACGTGCTTACAAGAGACTCACTCCTTCGCACTTATCAATACGTGCTTACAAGAGACTAACTCTTTCGCACTCAACAAAAACTTCACAACAAAGAAATGCTCTCTAAGAGCGTTACAAAATCCCTCTCAATATATATAATGAAACAAGTGATAAGCAAGAGGAGAATTTCGAATTTCCTAATAGATAAATGAATCTCTATAAGCTCTTTTCGAATTTGGCTTGGAATGAATAAACTTGAATGAATGGTCCACTATTTATAGGTGAAGCTCTTCATCTCTAGAAAGGAAATAATCAATCTTTAATCTCTTGATTGATTAGAAGATGAGTGTGATTGATCTCCAGCTGATTCACATCAATTAAATCACTTGAATATGGTAAGTATTTGAATTTTGAAACTCAAAAGGAGTGTTCTTCCTTCAAAAATGATTTTCAGCAAAACATCTTCCAGCCAGCTTCAGCAACTTCCGGGCTAACTTCCGCACAGCTTATATATTTTTGAATCTTTGATTGAGGATTGATTTAAAATCTTCCAAGTCCGAAAATATGATTCTCAATCAGTTTAAATCAATGAAAAAACGTTTTTCAAACAATACAAATAATTTTGAATATTAAACCATTTTCCAAAGATAGAAGATCTTGAATTTCGAAAAACGTTTTGCTTCCAAAATCTCATGGATATTTTCTTTCAAATCTTAGCTGAACCTTTTGAAATAATTTTCAAATAAAAAAGATTTATTTTCGAAAATAAATTATCATTTTATAAAGGGCTAATTTTCGAAAATAAAGACCAAATAAATTGGGCTTATTATTTGATCCAAGAAAGAAGAATTTGGACCAAGACTACAAAGCCGTATGGAGGATCGTTTGGATCTCGTTCTCGGGATAGTTCAAGGACACTAGGTCTCTTATGGATTATGTCACTCCGGTCTTGATTAATTCCGCCTTGATTAACTTGTCTAATAAAACCACGACTCAAAGGAAGACTATTAGATCAAATCAATTGTTTGTAAATCATCACATTCGAAAGTAACCTTTCGGCTAACAAAATTTGAGAAAGCAAAAAAACTTTTGTCGATCTGATATAATAATCCACTTTTCTTGTTCATATATGCCTATATCTTCAATCAACAACTCTAGAAACCAAGTCCACAACCTTTTATGTTCACCTTCTGTCACGCAATAGCAGATAGGGAACATGCCGTTGTTGGGATCTATTCCACACGCACTTAACAAAACTTCTTTGTGTGGCCCCGTCAAATGACACCCATCCACACTAACAATTGGCATGCACCCTCGTTTCATCCCTTCTTTACATGCTGCAAAGCAGACATACAACCTTTCAAATATTTCTTCTCCACTTTTATCATCAATAAAAGTCTTCAAAACAACTGTTGACCCAGGATTTGTTTCTCTAATCTCAGCACAATATTCATATAATCTTGTGTATTGGTCTTTGTATTGACCATAGAGTAACTCCCATACCCTTTTTTTAGTTCTATAGAACTGATTTCTACTTATCTCAACATTCATATCCCTATGAACTTTTTCTTGAAAGTCACTCATCTTCCATCCCGTGTTCATCCTCCAATCATCTAGATATCTTTCGCTCAATAGCTTAGACGTCACAAAGTTGTTCTTAGTCAATAACCTTGCACACTTGTGAATTTCATTTATAGTTCTTATCTGAAAACAACCATCTTTTCTTTTCCTAGAAGCAAGAATAATCCAGTTACAATTTTTTTCTCTGCATTTTGCTCTAACTCTAACCTTGTCATTTTTTACAAACTTGATGTTTCTCTGCCATTTCACTGCATGAGATTATACTGCTTCCTTAAACTCATTTGCATCAGTAAATAGCATTCCTACTCTAAACTGTGGATCTTCCATGTCAACCTTCGGATTAAACCTTAAAAACTAAGGCATTTTAATACCATTTTCATCATCAATGCACAAACTCTAAATCATCTGACGAAAAATTATCTGATGACTCATTGACAGTGATCTCCTCATCCACGAATACAACTTGCTGTCCACTATCAATTTCATTTCCTTTATTTGATTTTGACCATTGAACTTCATGGTTAATATCTCCTGCAATGCGTATTTCTTCATTTTTATCTTGCTCATAATCACAATCAATGAATGACTCATTCTCACCGTCTAAATGCACCGAGTCAATATTAGTTCTTTCAATTCGTTTTTTCTCCTTAACCTGTGAAATATCATTGACGTCTTCGTGTTTCTCAAAATCTTCTAGTAGAAGATTAGAGAATGATTGGGTTGCAAAAATTTCAACTTCCCTGTAGTACTTCCCATATTCTGCCAAAGTAGTTACATCCTTTTCAGTAACGATAAAAATTAATTCTTCATCACCATGACTTGGCACTTTGTAATAGAAACCTATGTACTCCAACCCCAACATTTCATTGATTCTATCCATGTCTCCAAAGATATGTCATTGGCACAACAATTATCTATATAGTCGATTTTTCCTCCCGTATAAACTTTCTCCGGTTGTTCCACAAAGTAGAGGTGAGTAGAAAAACCGAAAAACCGAACCGAAAAACCGAAAAACCGAACCGTTTTAAACCGTACCGAATAGCAAACCGCATGTACGGTTTTTTATTTTTGAAATACCGAATTATTCGGTTCGGTATGGTGGGAAGCTAAATAACCGAACCGAAAAACCGAACCGAACCGAAACAATAAAATGACTTCATTTTATATAATATATGTATTATTTTACCCTAATATTTATTTTCTATCTTTCAATTACTTGTCTCATTCTAAGCATTTGTTCATAAATTGAGACATTGTATTTTATTTATTTAGTAAGTAAAAATTTACTTGAGTTCATGGTTTTAATAATGTGGTAGATGAAAATAGGAAAAAAAAAAATGAAGCATAATACATCATCTAAATTACGTTAAGTCCTATGAAATTAAAGATTTTATATTTTCATTGCATTAGTAAGTTGTGAAAGTAATTGTAATTGTATTTTTTTGTTTGTACAACTTGAATATATATTGACACTTGAACCGAAAAATAACCGAAACCGAACCGAAAAAAACCGAAACCGAACCGAAACCGATAGAAAACCGACATACACGGTTTTTAATTTTACAAAAACCGATATATTCGGTTCGGTTCGGTTTTTGGCTAAAACCGAACCGAACCGACCCGTGCACACCCCTACCACAAAGACTCCACCATGGTGAATTTTCATAGAAAAATACTGAAATTCTTCACCTGTTTAGTATTCACAAAATAATTAATTTACCGCTTTACATAAAAATTAATGCATAATGTTGTATGAAAATTTTGAGGATGCCAATAAAATACCAACTCCTATAACAGTAAAACTAATCAATGTTACGTATTAAATAAGAATTCCTTCATAAATTTTACTCTCATATATGGTCCAAATCTGATAATAACATTACATAATCAATCATCATAGTATAAAATTATATGTCAATACTATATTTGTTACTCACCTGACCAGACAATAAATAAACTGGAATTGTGCCAAAGAAAGAAAAAAATTGTCTACATTCTTTGAAATTTGTGTAGTAATCTTTGTTTAATATGAAAAGAAAACAAACAATAAGATTCCGTCATTAAGCAGATTTGATTTAGAATGCGACTTACACCGTGTGTGTGCCTCCTTTCCACGAACTTCCATTCTGCAATTGTTTAGAATTTTTTTACTTTTTTCTCGACACATAGAAGTTGTAATCTTTCTCATGGTCCAAAACCCTAGGTTAAAATATTTTACGTGACTTTATTTCAGAAGGAAAATTGTAAATATTTATCTCATTTGTTTTACCAGAAATACCCTTAAAATAAAAAACTTTCCACTTATTTTTTTGAAGTAAGTTCCGTTAGTAGCTAACAGAATAGTTACTGAAGGATGACTTTGAGATTGTATTGCAAGGTGAGGGATGCAGTTGATGCAATTCAAAAATAAAGGATTAAAGTGAGACGAAATATATACTTAAGGGATTACTAATGATATTTGGCCTTTATACATAGTGTAATGGTCTAGGGTTCGAGTCCCTCTCTCCTACTTTCATCTTGTAATAAACAAGAATATAATTAAAAAAAATAAAAAAAAATAGGGACATTGATTTTTTTAAGGGAGCTTTAAAGGGTAATTAGATGTTACATCTGATTATTTATACTAGATGGATTTCAATCGTAGATCTACACATAATTACACACACTTACATATACATGTGTAATGTGTGCTTTGTGGTTGATTATTTAATCAGATCAGGTGTAATATCTAACTCCCGAGTTTCAACTACCATTTCACGTCTTTTCATTTAGGTTTTGGGGCTCCTTCGACCCAACACCCGATGATAAACATCGGGTGAGTCTTCTGATGTCACGTGTTTTTTTCCTTCCTAAAACCCCTACAGGTTAACCCGTGTCGGAGAATATATTATAAAATACTAAAAATGATACGTGGCAGCAAAAGACCCATCCAGTATTTATCACCTGGTATAGGATCGAAAAAGTCTAGATTTTGGTGAACTTACCCATAATCAATTTTAAATTTCGTTTAGATTTCCCAATCGGCCAAGGATATCCCTTAAGATTGATGGGCCAAATTTGAACCAAGCGGGCTGAGTTTCGGTTAGATAATCGGGCCGGCCCATTTAGATATCAGTACTCAAGATTAGAATGTAATATGTATTCCAAATTCGTCAAAAGAAAAAAGATCGAAAAAGTCGGAAATTGTAATTTTTAAATTCGTAATGAAAAACATTATTCCAAGATCAGAAATATTTGGATCGAAATAGTGGAGTTCAAAAATTACGTTCTGATTTCCACCCTTAGGAAAAATGTAAGAAATCGCAACTAACGATATATTGGGCTAACTTTCTACTACTTGATACTCTTTCGATTTCATATTATCTGTTACTTTTGAATTTCAATGCTATATTAATTACATAGTTTTTTTTCAATTTGGTCCCTATTAACTCTCCAACACTATCCATGCATTAATTAGTAAACAATGATATCTTAGTCTAACAATATCGATTTTCCTAAAACCAAGACATATTTATTAGGGGTCATTAGCAATAAACCCCTCATATAGATAATAAATGGTGATATGTCCACCCCTTCAATCTTTCTTTGTGATAGCCCCCTAGAATTTGTATTCCCAATTGTACCCTTATGTCAATTAGGATAATTAGTCTAAATTATTCCTTTTTTTCTCTTTCCATAACAATAATCTAATTCCTAAAAATCTCCTTCCAAATTCCTAAAAATCTCCTTCCAAATTCCTACAAATTTGCTACCAAATCAAAAAATATAATTTTTTTATTTTTTTATTATTTTCGGATTTTTAGCCATTTTTCATTTATTTTTATTTTTTAATATTTTTTTAATAAAAAAAATTTAATTTTTTAAAAAAAAAAAATTTAAACAAAAAATTGAATTTTTTTTTCTTGACAGATTTACAATTCCGAATATGACTATAGTTAAACATGACTATATAGACATATTCTTTCTTTATATTGCATTTTTTTATATTTTCAACTTAAAAATTTCGATTATATAATGTGGTATAGTCATGTTTACCAAATTATATAAAACAAAGAAGATTCCCCTATTGTTTACGAAAACAATCCAATCAAAATTCACACAAAAAATACCAATTTTGAATCTAGTTATTCGAATATGACTACAGTCATATTCGAATATGACTACAATCATATTCAAAAAATACATAAATATGACTATAGTCATATTCGAACATGACTATAGTCCTGTTATGAAAAAAAAATTCGAAAAATACAGATAGAAAAATAACGAAAGAGAGTCATGGGGAGTCGACGACAACGGCGATGGTGGCGGTGGTGAAGTAAAGAGAGTGAGAGAGGCGGCGACGGTGGTGGTGGTGGGGGACAAATCTGGAAAAAAAATAAAAAAAAACGAGAAAGATAACGAAAAAGAGAGAAAGAGTCTTACGTGGAAACGAATGAGGAGGCGGCAGCAACGAGCGGCGACGGTAATGGTTGTGTACAAATTTATGTGGAGACGATGGTGGTGTAAAGAGAGAGAAATCGAGAGAAACAACGAACACGAGAAATAAATAAATCACTAATCGAGTGAATCAACAATAGTCATATTCGAACCAGAGTAGTCACGTTGATGCTGCTGTTTCAAATTTGAAGAGAAAAAAAAAAAAAAAATTGAAAAAACCTGGGGAGGCGGCGACAACGATGGTGAATGACAGAGAGAGTGGGGACGTGGCTACGGTGGCGGTGGTGGACAAATCTGGGAAAAAAAAAGAAAAAAAAAGAAGAAAAAATTGAGAAATCTAGAGAAAAGGAAAAAAAGAAATCTCCATGTAACGCATCCGACGAAGGGCGGCGACGAGGTTGGGGAACATGATTTGTTTTTTTTATTTGATTTTCTTTTTCAATTACTCTTTATTTATTTTTTACATAAATAAACATGTTATATTTTTAATAATGTAAATATTAATATATATAACATGTTAGCTAAAAGGCACCCAATATTTATATTTTTGCATGATGTTTGGTATCAGAACCATATGGAAAATAAATAATTAAAACGACGCCGAAAATCTTAGACCACGTTTTAAAATTTTGAAATTAAAACTCGATTATTTTCAAAAAAATTATTATAAACCTAATCACATAAGGACACTTTAGTCTTATCATGTAAGGTTAGGGGTGTCTCACTAATTAAAAATGAAACTTGGGTGTAGGCAAAAGTCTCTAATAGTCAATTGGGTTTAGTTCAAAATATTTTCAATTTGAGGGGGGTATTGCATATTTCCCCTATTTATTAAGATTTCTGAAGACTTGTGCCAATGTAAAAAACGTCACCTATTTACGAACGGATGGATGGAGTAATCTTTTGTAATTCTTGTGTAGGAATCTTCCGGTGTTAATTATAAATCTACATTGCACAGACACAGGAATGCGGACACGATCAAATGTTGAAATGAAATATTCCGAAAAAGTGGGACACAAATCAACTCGGATGATATGTGTAAATATTAAAAACAGGAAGAATAAATTTATAAATTTATATATTATAAATACTTCCCTCTAAGAAATAATGTTGGAACCAAGTGCAACCTCCTTCATTTCCAGCAAGGCATCTTCAAAACACTTGGCCAGAATTTTAGGGTCTGGGATTATTTCTTTTGCAGTTAGGATTTGCATTTCAGCCACTCCTCCATAACTCACCATATGCATTGTTATTGCCTGCACCATCACAAGCCCCAATATTATTATTCCACAACATATATATATATATATATATATATATATATATATATATATTCTACAACGATCACGTCAGAATTAAATTTCCGTTCAAAAATATTTTCTTGATATTAACATCATAATCTACGTACACGTATGTTGATGATTTTATCGACATGCACGTGATTTTTAAAAAGGTGGAAATAAAATACGAGAAAGTAATTAAGGAAATTACTTTTAATGGTGTATCAATACGGAATTAATAAACGGTGCAGAAAGTAATTACGGAAACTTTACGTGTGGTAGGCTGCTTGAAGTGACCCGAATGTGCTTCACGGTATGGCCAACGATCGTGATCTTTTCCCGAGGGCCGATAATGTTCGATATTGTGAAGCTTGTATTTGAAAGAATTCGATAACTCAGAATAGCAGCAAACTGCAATAATTTCAAAGTGAACATACTCATTAATTATAAGTTCAATTTGTTTTGGCATTCTTTCAAGTAATTAAGTAAAATGAGCACTTAATTATTATGAATTTATATATGATAATTGATAAAATAGGAATTAAAGAATATACAATATGACTAGAAGATTATACATGTAATTTCTCTATTGAAAGAAAGAAAATTTTTACGTTCCCTATTATCTGTTATTTTAAAATTATAATACGACATTAATTACATAATTCTCAATTCTAACCTTATTAACTATATATCTTTAACATTCTCTTCTCAACTCATTAGTGGGCAAGGGGTATTATCGTCAACACATGTATATTTTCGTAATATTAAGCCATGTTTATTGAGTTTTCTTAATACATGTGCAAAAGTGTTAAACTACTGTAATTGTGGAATAGAGGGAACCGTTGTTTTATGTGTGAAAATAAATATTTGAAATAATTTCTGAGTAATAAGGGCAAAATCGAAAAAAATAGTGTAACGAATGCTTCATTTAAATTCTAAACTAGCAGATAATATGAGACGGAAATATACCTTTGCCCCGAGAAAAGAAGTGACTAAGTGCCCGACTTTGTAAGAGAAAAGGGCCTCTAAAGAAAGCTTTTTCTTATCAATCATTGATTTGGCTCTCTTCACAAACTCGATTGGATTAGAATCGCCTTTGTGATAATACACGGGTAAGATAATCATACCGAATTTATTTCCCCAACTAGTACTCGAATTACTGCTACTCATCAGCTTCGAAATATCCTGAAAGTACACATGAACGAAAAACGGTAGGGTGAATTAATTTTAATTACATATTTAACCATACAATTATTTGGATCGAAATCGAAACCGAGAAGCATGTTTAATTAAACCAAACCTGCAGCCCCGGCTGTGCTCTCAAATTCACCATGGCGACACCCGTCATTCGAAGCCCCTCCGGCGGCAGAGCTGGATCAAACAAGCCAAGTAAATTAATTTAAATATAACTTTATAATAATAATAATAACATTGATAAATGATAATATTACATAGTAATATTATTGTCTGTAATTAAGGTTACCTTTTGGTGATTTGATGTCTAAGTACCTGGAGAGGCCACATGAGATTATCCCAAATAAAACATCATTAATTGTCTGCACATTTTGATGGTGAAATGCATCAGCAAGCAATTTTCATTTGGTTGAAAATTCAAATTCTCAAGAAAGGTAAATTACTAAATTACAACCCCACCCCCTGAGATAAGGTCTTTATATGAAAAATCCTCATTTTTCCATAATTACATCCAACCCCTGTAATTTGTAGATTTTTTACATTAACACGCTTTTGTAGAGGGTAGAGGTAAGAAATTTACGAACTGCAGCCGAGCGATCGAATGTAATTTCTCAAAATAAAAAAAGGGTTTTTTTGTAGTTACAATTGTAATTTGCATTAATGCACATGCTTTAGTAGTTCAATAAAATTCTCAAGAATGGTAAATTACTAAATTACAACCCCACCCCCTAAGATAAGGTCTATATACGAAAAAAAAAAACCCTCATTTTTCCATAATTACATCCAACCCCTTGTAATTTGTAGATTTTTTACATTAACACCCTTTAGTAGGGTTGGAGGTAATAAATTTACAAACCGCAGGGGGCTGAATGTAGTTTCTCAAAACTAAGGCCACATAAGATAATCCCAAAAAGAACATCAATAATTGTCTGCACGTTTTGATGGTGAAATGTATCAGTAAGCAAATTCCATTTTGTTGAAATTCTCAAGATGGGTAAATTGCAACCGCACCCCCTGAGATAAGGTCTATATACAAAAATGTTCCTCATTTTTTTCATAAGTAATTTGTAGATTTCTTACATTAACACCATTTTGTTAGGGGTGGATGTAATTTCTAAAAAATAAGAAGTTTTTTTTCTTTTTGTAATTACACTTAAGTTCAAGGAGGTAACTTACATTGATGCACATGCTTTAGTAGTTCAATAAAATTTCTAGAGTACAAAGTGAATTAATATAAAGAATAGAAGGTGGTGATTGTCAACATAGTACCAAACTAAGTTGTAGTTAGTTTTTTCCTTTGCTGAGTTGTACACATGGTGTGAGTTGGGGACCCATGAATTTTTTTTGGGGGGCCGTGTTCGTATATTAATGAACGAAAATAGTAGGCAAACAATACTTATTTAGGGCTATTTTTGTAATGGAAACAATAAGATAATAATTATTTGAATTTTCAATCTAAATAGGGTAAATTACAATCGCCACTGAAAAAATCCTTCATCTTTTTTATAATTACATCCACACCTACAATTCTTAGACTTCTTAACTTAACACCCTTTTGTAGGGGTGGATGTAAGAAATTTCAAATTGCAGGGGCTGGATGTAATTTTTTCAAAAATGAGAGGTTTTTCGTTAACAGACTTCACAAATTAATATTAATTTACCCAAAAATAATATAAATTAAAATAAAATAAAAAGTGGAAAAGTATAGTTTTTTTTTTTATATATATATAAAAAAATAAAGATGGCATTCATTTTTTGTTTCAACAATTTGTAATGGTAACAATTTTTAATTAATTTTCCTTCTCTTCGTGGAGTAAAGATCACCTTTTCCTCTCATTTTTTGTTGGGCTTTTAATAGTAATAAAATAAAAGCACACTATTTTCTACAGTTTGCTATGTGGCATGCTTCCCCCTATTCCAACCAATTTATAATAATAACTAACAAGTCACCCAAAATTAAGGGTGATCTTGTAGTTCTTCATTTTAGGTAATGAAGAACATTTGCACTTATTTTTTTATACCTCTAGACATTTCATATTTAATATCAGAATTTAATATAAGGCTTAATCTAAGGAATTAAATATTTTACTAACTAAATAATTAGTTAGTCAGTAGGATATTAAATATATCTCACTTAATCCAATATAGTTCGATATAAGAAAACAAACAAAAGTCTTACTATAATCTTCTTGATACTATACTTCTATTTTGCCTTTAAACTCTTAACCATTAAACGCCGTTGATCTAAACAATTGGAAATACTTCGAAAAATGAATGTAGTAATACGAATTACATAATATCACACCCTACTCTAAAGAAGTAAGATACTCAATTTTTTTAAAAGCAAATTACAGGTACCCCTGACGTATGCTTAGATCACGAAAAAACTTCTTCTGTTTGGATAAATACAATACTCTTAACTATATATTGTCTTACATGTCTATTCTTACGGTGTGAAATTTACCTGCTGGAGAAAAAAAATTGTAATTATCCAAGCACAAGGATTTTTTTTTTGGTAATTTGAACTTAGACTCAGCGTGGCCTTAATTTGACTTTTTTGTTATCATTGTTTTTAGGAGATGTTGTTGTTCCATGTTATATGTAACTATAAATTTATAAGAAAAAATAAAAAAGAAGATGTTGGTTTCAATGGACACGTGGCAAAGCATGAATAGTTAAAAGACTAGAGAAATAAATAAATGTTTTTTCGTGATCTGTTCGTAACCAATTCCTACTGCGTTTCAAATCTGATGATGAACATGAAAATATCCATCGGTTTTAAGAAAAACTCACCGATTCATTAACGGCTCTCTTCACAATCTTCATATCGTCGAGCCGAAACCTCGCCGTTGCCAGCTTCCGCGGCCAGAGCTCCACCCCAGCGCCGCCGCTCACGGCGGTGGTCCTGTCCCTCAGCCACAAAGCCCTAACCGTGAACTCCAAAGCATAAACTAGAGTATACCAAACCAGCTTCACCAACGCCCACGCACTCCACCCCCTCGGCGGCGCCGCCGCCGCCGCGCCGATCGTCGGCAGCTGCGACGGATCGTCGGCTTTCCTGCAGCACGAGAGCAGCATCGACATCAGAGAAATCCCGTCCCCGAGCGCGTGGTGCAGACGGAAGACCGCGGTCGCGTGGGCCACGAGGATGTGGATCTCCCACAGGGGTTTGTCGGCGGGGAGCGGCGACGAGACGGCGAGATCCGCGATGAAATCGTTGACGGCGTCCTCGTCGGAGACGAGGGGATCGTCGGAGAGGGGGTGGTGGCGGACGATGACGTGGCGGTCAACGTCGACTTCGGTCCTCCGCCAGTACTCGCGGCCGCACGAGTCTCTTACCATGAGGCTGCAGAATCTGGGGAGCTTCAGCATCACTGAGCTCCGGACTTCGGCTTTCACGGCGGCGACGTCGACGGCGAACGGAGAATCGACGGCGATTGCGACGTTGATGATCTGGTCCATTTGCGGCTGCACGAAGAGGCGGCCGGCGGGGGTTAGCGGCTGGTCTCTCTCCATTGGATTTAATTTCCTCTTTCAGAAGTGAGATAAAAATCAGTAATATATATTTTTATTTTTATTAGTTTTTTAAATTACTGTTTTATTAGATGTAGAGAGAGAAATAGAGAGAGAGAGAGAGAGAGAGAGAGAGAGAGAGGGGGGGTAGGAATTGAAATTGAATTGGATCAATAAATTTAAAAATGAAAAAGCCCAACAAGGTCTGGAAAATGTGTATCGCAAAATTAAATGTGAAGTGTTATGTGAACTCTGCCTGCATGCCTTAATGATGAAAAGAAAAAATAGAAAGTGGATAGTGAAATCTAAGAGCATCTCCAACGTTTATGTATGATTTGGGACGTTGAGTATACTGATAAATGCTGTTGGCTAAGGGCGCGTTTGGTAAACTTATTTTAAATAACTTATTAACTTTTACATCTGATAAATTTTTTTAGAGCTGATAAGATGCTACATATTTTATTTTAAATTGTTTGCATAACTATTTTACTCATTGTAAGATCTTAAGTAAAAAGTGGGGTAAAAGTATTTTTAAATAAATACAAAAAAATTATTATGATCTTATAATTAGTTAAAATAACTTATGACATCATTATCTAAACACATAAAAATTAATTCTTAAGGTAAGATGTAATAGTTTATTAACTCTTAAAATAGCTTATCTTGTGAAATAATTTCTCATTTGTTTAAAATAAATTTAGCCAAAAGAAATCATAAATCTAAGTTGTTCAAACTAAAATTCTCAGTCAATGGACAATGGATCATGTGTATCTAAGTATATCCGGAAATAGAAGAAAAACAAAAACAAATTTGGAAATAGTACATATATATATGATTTCTCTATTCACATGTGGTAAGATAAAAACATATTATACATTGATAGAGACCAACTTCTAAAAGTTGAAATATATATGATGACCGACCACTGATGTAGTTTGAATAAACGAGCAATGGAAATATCGATCAATTGATCTTATCTCTTTCTATGTAGCAGAACCTCGATAAATTAATAATTTTAATTAAATAATAGATTTTTTCCAGTCTCAATTCGGTGAAAATTGATTAAATTATTAACTCAATAATTTAATAATTCGCTAAATTAGTAGAATTTCTTTGTTAATTTATATAAAGATTTAACTGTATTCAACATTTTATTCATTAAACTTCTTTACATATGTATATATGTTAAATACTAATTAATAGTTTACCTCTGCTTTCTTTTTTCTCTTAGCTTTTGGTTTGCAAGTTTTGATAAGATACTTAAGAATAATATAATAGAAAATGCAAGATTGTTATTCTACACTAAGATACTTGTCCGTACAAAAATATATATATAATTTCAGTAAATACTAAGTTATCAATTTATTTTGGTTCTGTTTAGAATACTACTTTTTAATTAAGTACTCCAAATAGTTGATAGGTCACCCCTTGGCTGGAATCGTTTGACATCATTATCATACTACAAAAAATTAAATGAAATAATAAATATATAACGACTTTTAGTTAACAAATGATTTTATTTTCTTAAGTTTCTAATTTTAAACAAAACTTAGAGTTTAACTCTTACATTTAAACTTATTAAGGTGGTGTTTGCAAATGTTTTTAGAAATAAATTATGAGTATTTTTTGCACATAATTAGTTTTTAGGTGTTTAAAAAAAAATTGCTTTTACTTTTCTTAAAATGATCTGCTTCAACCAATAACTTTAAAAGCATCCATATACATGCTTTTAGTAATTTAGTTTATTTTTCAGTTAATTTGCAAACACTAACTTTTAGAAATTAAAAAATTAATTCCAACGTAACTCACAAACACTAATTGCTGCTTCTAAATAAACTTTTGCAAACACCACATGAATGTATTAATAGTCTTTTAGAAATAAAAAAATTAATTCCAACGTAATAGTCACTAATGCTTTTAAATAAGCTTTTGCAAACACCACATTTATGTATTAATAGTTTAGCAAAAGCATGCTCATGAGTAACGTCGGGTCATTCGGGACTTGTACGGGCCAAGTCCAATGTCCAACGGTTTGTTTAATGCTACACCCGATGAAATACACTCGATAATTATTAATCGTTGATCTGCACACAAATACTCACACACCTATGTGTATGTGTACTTAATGGAAGGGAAGTTATTTTAACACATCAACGATTAATAATTACACAGTGCATTACACCAGGTGTAGCATTTCAAGGACCTTGTCCAACCCATTCCAAGGGTTCGCCTAATGTTATTTAGTCGTAATTAGAAACTTAAACTAGGGTATTTAATCTTTGAACTAAATTAAAAAAAATCAATTAAATTCCATATGGGATGTGATAAATGTCGTTCGAGCTTTAATAATACTGTTACGACTTCAAATGTGATTTTGATCATTTTTAAATTCAAATTTTGTAAAACCCGAAAAAGAGAATTTGTAGTATTCTGAGTTAGTTTTCTAATCCAACTTGAATCACCAAAATTGGATGTCGGACGAGAAATATATACATGAATCAATGAATACTGTCCACAACTTTGATGTATTGAGGTATCTAAAATTCAAAATGTGACTCATTCATGCATAACTTTGTCATACGTCATCCAATTTTGCGGATTTAAGTTGGAATAGAAAGCTAACCCAAAGGACTACAGTTTTCGTGTTTCGAATTTTGCCAAAACCAAAATAGAAATATGTCAAAATCAGGTACGAAGTCAAAACGACATTAGTAAAATTGAATCGACATTTAACATTTCAGATTCCATATTTGTCAAAATATTAATCTTGAAATAGAAAGAAAATAGAAGTTTCAATTTAGAATGAAGATTTTTATGTAAATTTTGTTGGATTAGAACGCAAAAAATGGTCGAAACATTTGGACCAAGGAAAGCTTCATAAATCCACAAAAACGTGTCGTGTAAATCTTCTAAACTCGATAAAACTCGTGTATACAATAGATGAAATCAGGAACACACGAGAAAGTACTAATGAAGGTATACAAAAATATCACAAGGCATGAACACATCGCAAAGAAATAAAACCGAGTATTGAAGAGCAGAAAACGTGATTCAATCATACGCAAGAACGAAATTAGAGTATATTTAAAAAATAAATAAAAGTTTGATCAACTTAAAAATCTCACATGAACTTCAATCAATTATACAAAAAATTACCCACACAAAAAATATCCAAATTTGTTAACAAATAACAATGTTTCAAGTCATTAAGCAAAAGCCATGGGTTAACATTACAGATAGTCATATCACATATGGTTATTGAGACACTACACCCGATGATTTTTAACCATTGATGTGGTTAAATAACCACTCGCTAAACACACATACACATGGTTATATATATGTGTGTTTGTGTGTGATTATTTGAAGATCAACGGTTATAATCAACTGGTGTATTTCACGTGTGTAGCATCAAACAAACCTAGTGATACAAGGTACATAAACTGCTCCTAACATTAATGAAACTTACACTATGAACTAGAGATGAACAAAGAATAAGGTCCATGAAAAAAGACCTCAACGGAGGGGCAGAAATGTCAAACCAGAAACATTCGACAACAAAAAGTAAACAAGTATATCCAATTATCGAACCTTGTTTTGATTATTACAGTTATGCCACGATTGTAAGCATAACAAAATTAAGGTGAGGGAAACTGAAATAACAAAACATGATAAATTCTCAATTCAATGACCAATAATAAAGCAGAAATCGAGAATGAATCTAACAGCTCGATATAACCAATTTGAGGATTCAACGAAAAAGAACATAATTAATAAATATAACAATATTTGACAACTTCCCAGCATAACATAGACAGACTTACAAATATATCCTATTTTCTCGTACACATCTTACACATTTGAAAAAAAGATGTCGAGCTCGCAAGCAATCGTGAACACATGATTTAAACAGAATCACGAGACATTGTATCGCCAGTATATTTTTAAACACATTGCACAAGGAATCGAATATCAATGAATTTTGGTTTAACAATTATTTAAATTGATTCGAGTGTGTTTTATCTGGTCAAAATTAGTTCACAAAACGAAAATTATACCCAAAAAATGAAACTGAACAGAATTAAAATATCAATCCACTCAGTAGAAACAAAATTCTGAATTAAATGTTTCTAAAAACCATCACATAGGAAAAAAACAAAACATTAAAAAAAACAGAAATGTAGCAATATCAGGATTCTTAATCTAATTCCAAAACATACTAATGACGATTATAATTATAATAATAATAATAATTAAAAGCATAATCACTACCAGAAACTTAACGGTAGGACTTCTGGAATCTGGCACGTGCACCACGACCTCCAAACTTCTTCGGCTCGCACCGCCGCGGGTCCGCCACCAGCAAAGTCCGGTCGTACCTGACCAGAATATCCTTGATCTCCTTCTTCGACTGCTCGTCGACGTATTTCTGGTAGAAGGCGACGAGAGCTTTCGAAATTGACTGGCGGATGGCGTAGATCTGGGAGGTGTGACCGCCGCCCTTGACGCGGATGCGCATGTCGACTCCGGCGAAGCGCTGGCGGCCGAGGAGGAGGATTGGCTCGAACGCCTTGTAGCGGAGGATCTCCGGCTGGACCAGCTCGATTGGGACTCCGTTCACCTTGATCAGTCCGCGGCCGCGCTTGCAGTGTGTGACGGCCACCGCCGTCTTTTTACGTCCGAAGCATTGGACGGATTCAGTGGTTGCCGCAGCCATCTTCTCTCTCTCTCTCTCTCCTCTCTCTCTCTCTGCAGAAAAACCTAGTGAGAGAAATGTGAGGGAAATGAGTAATATATATGTATGGAGAAGTAGGGTTTTGAGTTATTTGGGCCTGAAATGGTCTCCACTAAATTTATTTGGGCTTCAAAAGTTATAAATTTGGGCCTTATTATTTAATATTAAACAAAATTCTCAATTTAAGGCATGTTTGGTTAACGTAATTCTCAAGTTAAGGTGTGTTTGGTCAACGTTTGGGGTCTAAATTTTGATTTTAATTAATGGAAATATGTTCTCCAATAATAATTTAAGAGGAAATTAATGTTTGTTTGCATTTTGAAAAGAAACGATTTACGGCTATAGCACTCAAATCATATAGTTAAAGATGGTTGAATTGTATTTAAAGTTTTTCGAAAATGTAGTTAGGAAAATATTTTGAAAAATGGAATAAAGTTTTTTTTAAATAGTTTTTAACATTTTTAAAGGTTCGCAGTTGTTCGTAAAAGCCAAGCACATATTATCATTCGATAAGCCTAAAGTTCAGCTCGATTAAAGAACGTACAAACTCGATTTGATCGGTTCTTGATCAAACCAAGCTCAAAAGCAACTTTATAAAACTTAAAACAAACTTGAATCACGTGTTTAGTTGGATTTCTTTACACTTCGAGTTATATTATAAGCTCATAATTTATTTTGTGTGTATATATATGCCCTTAATATCATGCATGTAAGGAAATTGTAGTCCTCCTTTATTCAAAATTCCAATTAACATGGCAAAGTATTTTGTAAGGGTAAATATTAGAGATAATACTTATTGATACTTCTAATTACAGTTAATTATCTATAAATTAATACAGTCGAAATCAGCAATAATATATTAATTTAGTGAAATATTAATTTAACGAAATCTTTTATAACTCGTTGTCGTTGATAAGGTACCGAGAAAAGCTATAGTTTAAACGAAATCATTAATTTATATAGAGCATTAATTTATCGAGGTTCTACTATTGTTACATTGTTAAATTCAACCATCTTTATCTCTTATCAGTCATGAATCATGTATTATTTAAAAAAAATCAAATTTGAAGCACTTAATTGGATTCGTCATTTACTCATCATCCAAATTATAGTCTTTATCCAAGACAACAAATACAAACCACAACACTAATAAAAACACAAACAACAACAAAGCAATAGGCAAGTTCATTTTTTCGAAAAACAATGGCCAAGCGGGTGATAATAATCAGGTGAGGCGGCGGCACAGGGTAATCCCATCACCGACCGGAAGCTGGCAAATCTCGATCCTCGGATCAGCTGCAAGTGCCTTGTTGAGCTCCAGCACGAAGTCCCTGTAGTACCTAACGTACTTCCTCAACGGTGCATCTGGTGGGGCGACCACGGAACCGTTCCATAGGGTGTTGTCATAGCCGATCACACCACCAATCTTAACAAGATCGATTAGCCTCTTGTGATAGTTGATGTAGTTGTCCTTGTCAGCATCCACAAATATGAAGTCAAATGTTCCATGATATTTTCCCTACAAAATGGGGTATATGTGTAAATAATTTCAAACTTTACTTGAAATAATATTTATAAACAAAATATGATAAATAAATTAGGTAAAATTATTATTAATCTTATCTTATATATAAAAGTAATAAACAAGTAGAATGTCTCCTGTTTTCTGGCCTTTATTTGTTTATTTATTTATTTTATCTTTTTTCTCTTCTAATTAATTTTCTAAGTTTTTTTTTTCTTTCTTATCTCTCAATGTGCCGATTTTCTGTTATTTCACTTTCTTTGTTAATGACATCTTTGTATTTTTTTACGAATTGGTTTGTATTATATATCAGATTTGTATGAATATTGATATCACTGATAAATTTTATTATAACAATGTAATATATTTCTATATTAACTGTTCATGTATTAAACTAATCATTTTTTTTTTATTTTTTCTGAAATATTATCCCATGCACCGCATTGAATAAATCACTAATTTCTTATTTCAATTGCAATACATGTGATTTAATACAAATTCATTATTAATCTATATATAATATAAAAAGAGGATCTATGCCCTCAATGATTGACATGTGGCAAATGATGATGTCATTTATCAAAATTGCTTAGTTGGAGTTCAATTGATGAGATGGATTCTTCAATTGGTGAGTTGTCAATTTTATTTTGATATGTATTTAAGTCATTTCCTATTTAACATTTATACACTCATTTAAACAATTACCACATGTATATATATTATTTCCAAAATTAATATTTTATAAATTCTAAATAAAAAAATCTTATTTATATTTTCAGTATTTCAAAATATATTTATTGAAAAAATTAACGATACTCAATTGTTTTACGAATATTGAAATAATTTTCAGAAAAAAAATATTTTTTTAATATTGAAATATTAAAATAAAGGAATATGATTTTTTTTTATTTTTAGTATTGTGGAATATTCGAATATCCATTCAATAAAAAACAAATTGGGATATCTATATAAAATTAATATAATAATAAATTAATATATATTTCATAATTATTTCATTTGAATATATATAAAAACTAATATATATTCGAATTTAGTATTTTTTTATTAATCAAGTGAAATATAATAAAATTTATATTTTAATATATTCAAATCATTATACATGGAAATAATATATATATATTCTAATTTTCATTAATATATTAATTAATAATTCAAATAAATATATATTAATAAATTAATTTATCAATATACATGGAAATAATTATATGTAATTAACTATATCATTGATTGATATAGATTATATCAATCATATTAATCAATCAATTAAAAGTAGACATTCCGTATATTTTGGTGTCATACTAATTTGGATTTATTTTATTTTCTTTTGCAAATATAGTATATTTATGGACTTGGATGTTTAAAATTTTGAATTTAATTAATTTTTTTTAAAGATATTATGAAATTTATATTTTTATTACTATAATACGAAAAAAGAAAAAAGAAAAAAAATAGTGTGTATATTTCATATATTTTGATTTTTATTAAAATCCGGATATGCATTTATTATATAAATCATTTATATATACATATCTATATATACATATATATCATCAACATCATATTTATTATATATTGATAATTTATGGAAATAATATCACCATAATTAATTTTAATTTATGTAAAGTTTGACTTTCATTCATTTATTAATTATTAGTAAGTTATGTGAATTTGCATCAAATAAAATCAATCACCGGATTTGTTGTCAATTATGTCTATTTTTTATTTTATGAAATCAATTTACATTTATTTTAATTATATCCAATTGTGGTGAAATATATATGTATACATGATTTAGTACTATATATGCATTTATATATACATTAACTAATATAAACAATATATGATTTCCTTAAAATCGTTTTATTTACTTATTTAGTGTGTGGAAATTAAGTATAAATACCCCCAATCTGAACCCCAACTCATTCATGTCACTCTTCATCTACATATTTTGTTATAATCATGCTAAACTAAGGTCATCATCCTAAAACTCTTTTTTTATTCCTTTTGTTTTGTAAATTCATAATGCAATTAATATTTATCGATGTGTTCGCTTGAAGCATTTATTTGTCGTAGAATATTTATAATGTTATTTATTTATTATGTATGTGTACATATAACAGTCTAACTTATGTTTGTTTTGCTTTTTTAGTTTTTGCAGATCCATGGATAGCATCGTTTGTGTTTTACGTTGCGACATTAGCAAGAGAGAAGCCCTGCGACGTTGTATAACACGCCTAAATATGATCCGCGTATATTGTAAGGATGAATTTAGAAAAAAATAGTTATGCATTTCCATCTTTTGATTATACGTGAGATGATTGTAAGCTTGGTTTCGATGAAAAATAAATTGAGATTAATGAACTTGATTGATCATGTAATACATTATTTAGCGTTTACATATTTTTGTAACAATGTTAATTTTTGTGTCAATTAATTAATAATGCTTATTTTTTATCTATTTGTTCATATGTACATACATTATTATTAATTTGTACGTTCATATTAGTTTCTATGATTTTATTTCAATAAATTGGGATCATATTTATTTGTTTATTTTTATTATATTAAAAATAAAAATGTTACCATCTATATATAATATAAAAAGAGGATATATGCCCTCTATGAAAGACATGTAGCAAATGTCTTTGTTATATCTCCAAATTGCTTAGATGGAGTTCAATTGATGATGTGTATTCCTCAATTGATTAGTTGACATTTTGATTTTGGTACGTATTTAAGTTCTTACATATTTAACATTTCTACACTCATTTAAATATTTACCACATGTATATATATATATATATATATATATATATATATATATATATATATTATTTCAAAATTATATATCCTATAAAATCGAAAGCTATTACTTATTTTAAATTTTAATTTTCCGAAAAATGTAATATTTTGATTTTTTTTAGTATTATTTTTATTTAAAATTTTAATTAAATAGTTATGTTATTAATTTTGTAATTTAAATATACATTTGAACAATTTATGAAATTTTGGTGTATTTGAATGATTTGAAAAAATATATTCATTTCATTTTAATTATTTTAAACATTTTGGGATATCCATACAAAATTTGAATATTTATATTTTTTAATATAATTATATTTGAATATTTATCATCTTAAATTAGTACATTACAATGAAAACTACAATATTGTTTTTACATTTTTAAATATTCGGATAATATTTTTACAAATTATAAATAATTTAAATGAACTTATCAATTAATTAATTTATCAACATACATGGAAATGATTAAATGTAGATCATATGGTTTTAAATATAGATCATATCATTTTAATTTGCATTTATTTTAATTCCTTGCAAATGTAGTATATTTTACACTTAGATGTTTAAATCGAATTAAAATTTATTTTAATTTAAATATGTTATGAAATTTATACTTTTTTATTATTAATATACAAAAAAAAATAACGTGTGTATATTTCACATATTTTGCAAATTTAAAATCCGGATATGTATTTATTATATAATGCTAAATTTTCATTTACTACATATTTACGTGCCAGGATTTCAAAGAGTTTTGTCCATTTATAGATACTCTTTGACTTTTATTTACCAATTATTTCTTCCCGGTTTTCCCTCCTGATTACTTCTTTTTTTCTTTTTTTTTTTTTTTTTCAGATTCATATGTATTTTAAAACAATGTCAAATTCAAATTCAAAATTGGCGTATTAGTTTAAACATTAAATATTCGTATTAGAATTGGCGTATTATTATGAATAATAGTGTTGATATTGATATTAGTATTAGACTATTAGTATTAATCATCGTATTAATATTAGGATTAGTATTAATATTAATATTATTAGTGTTGGTTTTAATATTAATATTAATATTGGTATTAGTATTAGTATTATCAATGTTGGTTTTAGTATTAGTTGTAGTTGTTGTTGTTAGTGTAATATTAGTGTTAATATTAGGGTGGCATAGGCAATTGTTCGCCGCAATGTCCGGAGTTAAAAGTAGATTTGAGATAAAGATATTTATCAACTCGAAACCGGGCGATATAACTAAAATTACGAGCAATGTTGTGTGCACAAAAGATTTTCAGCGAATATGAAGGTAAATCACAAACAAATGTATATTTTGATTCAATAAAATATTTATTTTGTATTATTTACATGTACGTCAACTGTTCAAAGTTTTCGTTCGTTTTTTTTATCCAAAATAATTTTTTAAAAAATATTGATCTCGTGCATCGCACGGGTGAATTACTAGTTTATTAGTTTAAACTTTAATGGTGTAATTTTCATATGTTAGGTGAAACATGACATGTGTGACATTAAATAAAAATAAAAGATTTAATTTAAATTGGTAACAATTAGTTAAGAGACTTACATCTTGAATCATTTCATCAAGAACAGGTAAAGCAGGACCTTCTCTGAAATCAATCTTGTGTTCAACACCAGCTTTCTTAATCACCGGCAAACCCAACTCATAATTCTCCCTATTTATATCCATAGCCAATATCTACCACCATTTAAAAAAATAATCATATAATAAAATATCATTAATTAATTAATTAATTAATTAATATTACCAAAATTAATAATTAGTTTTCCAATAAGTTTCTATTTAAATAAAAATAATAATAAATACCTTTCCATCATGAGGAAGTGCTAGGGCTGTAGCCAATAGAGAATAGCCTGTGTACACACCAATTTCCATTGTGTTTTTTGCATTTATTAATTTCAATAGCATGCTCAAGAACTGCCCTTCATCAGCAGATGTAGTCATAATATTCCTTCAAATAAAAAAATTAAATAAAATTAACCAACAAAATTCAAAGAAATAAGGGTAAAATTAAGACAACCCCCTGTTGTTTGGAGTAATTACAACAACCCCTCAACTAAAAATCTTCTTACACGTCCATCCTTGCGGTGTCAAATTTAATCGAATCTTCTAAATTATATGGAATATTCTCAAGTTTGTACCAGTTTTATCCCATTCGATCTCCACATTTTAATGCAAAATGATCATAAGATATGTTTTTTGGCTTGTATATATCAGATTGTGGTGCATCATAAATGCATTTTTAGAAACTAAAGAGTATTCCACTGAACAATCTGGAAGATTATGTTGAATTTGACACCATAAGTGAAATAGTTGTTATTACACAAACATGAGTGGGTTTTTTTTCGTAATTTGACCTTAACTCAGGTCTAATTGTAATTTACCCAAAAAATAAAATAAAATCAAAATTGAAAATACTAACCATGGGTGATTGGCAGTAATTTCTCTGAGCTCTTTCATTGGCTCCGGCTCTTTCGGGTACACACTTGTTTCAAGGATATACTGCAATTTCAATTTGAACAAATCAATTATTTTTTTTTATTTTTTTATGATTATTAATAATGAATAATAATAATAAAATAAAAAAATAAAAATTACCTGGTAAAGGGCATCACTTTGGAGAAGGCTCTTGTGCCCAACTTCTTGGTGCCTGCCATTTTGATTTTCCTTCGATTCAACATTTTCTGCCATTTATTTATTTATTTATTTTTTTTCTGATTTTTGAGTATTTATTTATTTATTTCTGATCTGTAGCTGAAATTGAATGGGAGAGAGGCAAAAATGGAGGTTGATATATATAGTGTAGATGCTTAATTCCGGTTCGACCGGTGGAATGTTTCTTTTTGTTTCTGTTCTAGTGGTTAGGAATGGTGGACCGGCCGCCCACCCGGTCGGGGGTTGGTGAAATTTCTAAACAGTGGTGGGAGTGTGGGGCCCAGTTTGGTGGTTGGGGGGTGGGGGTGGGGGAGGTGGATGATTGGGTGGCTTGTTTATGGTGCGTCACGATGACGCCACTTTTGTTATATCTAACGGATATTATTACACGTTAGCAAAGATGGTAAGATGCAATAATTTGGTGATAATTAATTTGCCCAAATGCTTTGGTTCTATTTTAGTACTACAACATGTCACCAGTGGCGGATCCAGGATATTTGCCAGGAGGTTCGAAATTGTAGAATAAAAAATTTAAATATCACTTTATAAAAATAGTGGACTAAAAAATTACAATTTACAAATTTTGGGTGAATTGTGGAAATATTTAAAGAGAAAAAATGTGAAAATCTTAAAATTAGTGGACCAAAAATTTACAATTTAAAAATTTTCGGTGAATTGTGGAATATTTAAAGAGAAAAAAATGTGAAAATGTTAAGATCTGAAAAGATGTCAGTTTTTGAGAGAGTGGGGATTCGAACCCATGACCTATTATAGGAGTTAGAATATCTTTACCACCTCAACCAACAGCCTTTGTTGTTAAATTATCTATAAGGGTCCATTTGGATGGAGGGATTTGGGGA